CTAGCTGCCCATCCATGACAGAGCAGAGGGAGAAAATCCATAGCATTCAAGTTTTTTTTAACAATATTGCATGGTCAATCAGATCGAAAGCAGCACTGAAATCTAACATTACTGCCCCTACTAACCTGTTCGAGTCTATTTCTGCCAGCCATTTGTCTGTCTTGAGTTAAAGCAGTGCATGTAGAATAACCCTCTCCAAACACATGCTGATACTTAGTAATGAGCCCATTGGTGGTGAAATATTTTTGCATCTGTTGGAATGCAATTTTTTCCATAATCTTGCTCATTAGAGGAAGTACACTAATAGGTCGACATTTTGGTCCTGTAAAAGCAGCTTTTTTATTTTTAGGTAATGGTGTAATTTGAACTCCTTCCATTTACCTGGAAATATGGAGTGTGTAAAGCTGGTTGAATATATGAGAAATTGGACGGGACAAAGTTTTAGCAGGTAATCTGAACAATCTTGAATCTAAATAATCAATTCCTGGTGATTTTCTATCTGGTAAAGATTTTAGAATAATTTTAACAAAAACTATCCACTTGATGGAATGTAAAAGAAAAATTATTTTTGTTCATAATTGTGTTTCAGATTACATTATGTAACTCAGACCCACTATCAACAGGAGTCATAGTAGCTCTTAAATTCTCAACTTTGCTGGTAAAATAATTATTAAAATAATTTGCATTTTTTTTATTGGTATGGTAGTAAAAAAAAACCATTATGTTCTACATAAGATTTAACTGAATGTTGGCTTCTACCCATAATTTCATTTAAAGTGCTCCATAACCTATTACTATCGTTTTTTGCTTCCTTGATCTTGTTTTGAAAGTATTCTTTTTTCTTTTTTTTATTTGCCTTAACTACATTATTTCTTAAAGCTTTGTAGTGTTCTTTATCTACTGATTCACCCGAACTATCTGCTTTTGTCTTAGCACTATCCCTAATACGAATCAATTCCTTCAATTCATCATCCAACCATGGTGCACTTCTATTCCTAACTGTACTTTTCCTCAACGGGGCATGTTTATCAACAATTTTCATTAATATTTCCATAAATCTGTTTAGAGCTGAGTCTGGGTTAACATCAGTGCACACTCCTGACCAGTCAGCAGCTTGAATGTCAATGATATACTGCTCCTGATTAAAATATTTAAATGATCTTCTGTGGATTACTCTTCTGCCACGTTTAGGTAATTTTCCTATATTCCTACTGCTACTGCTCATAATTGGTATTATTTTGATCAGAAATAAACATATTTAAGATATCATAAATACATATTCAGTTAAGGCATTAAAAGTCAAAATGGCACTTAAAATACCTTTCTACGTATGTAAAAGTTTTTCTTTCTAGTACCATTTATAATTTTTTTTTATTTTGGAAATTCAGTTTCTGTGGCAAAAATGTAATTTAAAAACTCTGTTTTTATAGTTCTTTCCAGCAAAATGATTTTGACCAAGAAGAATCCTTTTTAAGTGATCTACAAATGGAACAACAGATAGCAGTGTGCTTTTAATAGATGTTAAAACGGCCTTAATATAAATCTATGTATAAAATCAAGCAGTGTTCTTCTATGCAATCTTCCTCTCCTTTGCAGCTATAGTACTGTTGCTCTGTCTTTTAAGGACATTCTCCAATTTGTTTATTTTTTTATTTCTGCATTAAAATCTGTAATTCTAGTGGTGGGAAATAGGCACTTCCTGTTGCGTGTCGTCATTTTGACTTGTTAGATCGGTTTTTCCAATGATAATGGCTTTTCATACTTGTTACGCATGTGTTCAACTTTAAGTGGACATACAGTATATATAGCCCTTCCTTGTCATGCACATTCTTGTAATAATGTATAAAGAAAGGGAAATAAAACCACAGTAAAGACTGGACTGGTAAGAGGTGATTTGCAAATGTGTTTTTGTCAAGTTTGCTGAAGTTATTCAGCAGAAAAAGCTCTTTTTGTCCTGAGAATTCCTCATAAGCATCCTTGTTGTCACACATTTTTTTTTCTTTAAGCTTAAATTATCACTTTATCTTGTTTCCTGAGCTCCTACCATGGGTAAGGTAAACCGTTCATTGAAATTTTTTATTGATGTGCATGTCTAATTATGCACGCTGTGTGCTTACAGACCATCCTCGCTGGTTTACCTTGCAATTCAGAAATCTTAGCGTTTTACTGATACGGCTATATTTTATTTTGACACCATGTTTCTGTCTTCCTGTGTGACTCCTTACATTCCCATCAAACTGCTGAGTAGGTTTGACCAAACAGAACAGGGTTCTACCTCTGTTGAGATACGCAAGCACAGCTGCAGAAAATTATGCTGTCAGACCAGCCCCATGCATTTCATTAGGATGTAATTACCACAAGTTCATATGACCTGATTTAGTGTCAACATCTGACATTAAAACAAGTCCGATGTATTCTGGCCTTAATGTTACTGTGTAGGTTAATTTACAATTTACCATTATATCATTTTTTTAGTGTGCTCTTCTAGGCAACTCTATAGGAAATTAATTGAATCATGTGAATTATAGGAATCATTACATCTTGCGCCGCAGTAGAGTCAGAATGTTATATCTCCAGATGGTCTGACTCCTCTTTGAGTCAGTGCCACGTTTTCACATTAGAACAGAAAATATGACAAGAACTACCTTCAATGCAATTCTGTTAAATTATCTGGGGGGTTTAAAGCAGCCTTTTTCTTATGCATCAAAAAAGGACTGTGAGGTTACGAATTTTAAACCCATCACTTCTTCCGAACTAAAAAAGACTGATTTGTAAAAAACAAAATATATATGAATCCTGCTGGGGAAAATGTACATGTTGTTTCTTTCCAGATTAAAAAACTCTTAACATAATTTTTTATATTTCTTTAATGCATGGTCTTGTTTGCCTGGAAGACCTTGAAACCTGCTTTCCATTCTAGTGTTGTGCTTTGCTGTGATAGTAGCAATCTAATGTGGATTTATTCAACAGCCTAAGGTGTGCAGACAAGTTCCAGCCACTGTTGATGGATACCTCAGATGCTGTTGCAAGACCAGTGAATGAAAGCTGGAGGGTTAACAATGCTGGGATGATAACAGCCAAAACTAGCAAAGCCAAACTTCAGGCTGGAGCTTCAGTCACACTTTTTTTTTCACAACTGCCAGTGGCCTGAGATATTATTGCTGAGAAAGAGCCAGTACCTGCTGGATGCCTCAGACACAAATTTTCCTATGGTGGAGTTGTGTATTGAGAAGCTGCCAGGCAATTGGTGCTGCACGAACCACACAGCAAGTCTAGGACCTATTACCAAGTCGATCTGCCATCTGCTCTGCAAGAAGAAATGCTTTTATAGTGATTGATGATGTTTGTATGTTAACATGCATGAATGCATTGTTCCCTTTATGAAAGCAAAGAGGGAATATATCAGGTTATACTCCCAGGAACAGTCACGCAGTTATAAATTCCTAGTAATTCATCAAAGAACCCATGTTGATTAACTTAATCATTGCTAATGTACTATTCGCTTTCCATATTTTGTGAGTTATATATCTAAAACAGTGCCGATATGCAAAAAGTTTCTACCAATCCCCCTATCATATATGACTTCAGGAAAGACGAATCTGAGCAAAAATAAAATGTTCATTCTTTTCACTCGCCATTAATTTTGGTCATTATCATCTCAGGAGACATTTTAGCTAAATTTACAATCCTAAACTGGTGGACTTATTTCACCACTATATTAGAAAAGTTGTCTCTTGTAGGAATTCAGTGTAACTCTGGCAGACCTTCAGCAGGATATCAGTCCTAAAAGATTGATGAGCAGTAGCATATAGTCATTGCTGGCGTAATGAACTGTGCTTTATTGTGATTTGTTATGAGGCATAATAATGCATCACTCTTATTTTTCTATTCCCAACACATTAGGGCATCCTAATTTTGATGAAATAAAAGTTATTACATTTGTTACAAGAGTTCATCTAAGCCGTAAATTTAGAAATGCAGAGTAAATGACTCAAGACACTAATCTCTCTGCTTAATATTGTAAAACTTGATTTACTATAAAAGACCCCTGACTGATTAATTCATGGAGAATACAAACCTCAGTACCTCATAGGGAACAAACACAATGTCTACTTGTGAACGAACAAGTAAAATTAAGACTCCCCTCTGCTGCGGATCAGCTGACACTGAAAGAAGAGAAAAAAATCCCTAATTACTCTGATATATTTTTATGAAACATTAATTCTTATAGGTAATAAATGGATGCTTTGACTTACCCAGTTGAGCTGTCTAACTTTTAGAACTGTAATGTTGGTTCATGCACAGTAGAAGTATAGCCTGTCAGTGATTGTTTAACAGGCAGGGTATACCCTGGAAAGTTTGCCAGTCTGTCACAGGAATCCTAGAAATCCATCTGCTGACATGATTTCTTTCAATTTTGGAGCATGACATGATTCTGTTGAAAAATACTAGTTATTTGGAAATAAACAAACACAATCAGATCACAGGATGAGCCAGCCTGCTCATCCAAACAGAAATTTTATTACTCTCTTGTAGTTCATTGTGTGTCTTGAAAATCAAGCAGAAATGATGGTTCTTCTATGATTATACTCTGTAAGAACTTATCATGCAGAGTATGATTCATCAAACTGTACATGAGTCGGGTAAGATCAAGAATAAACTTTTGATACAGACAGCCCCCATGTATTGAAAAGGATTCCAGGCTGAGACTTCAATATTGTAAAAAACCCTGTTATGGCTGTGAAGCCCCATGGAAGTCAGCAGTCTGCTCAAGCTGCTGCCTGTATGGTCCACTGATCAAAGCAGGGAAGCATCAGTGCCTTTGGCCTCTGCCCATTGAAAAACTGCCCACTAGAGGAGGACATGATGAAGTCTTGTGGGCGGTAGTGTGCTTGAGGCAATTCTTATTTTACTCACCTAATCCTAAATGAGATCTTCAAAGGAACTGCAGATGTTGATGTAAAATGGATGCTGTGTCTGATTTTTTTTTTTTTTTGCAGATGAACTCAAGGAAAAACTGCAGGACTTTGTGTCGGAAACAAACAGCCAGCGTCCGGGATTCATCAAGATAGTGCGGCATGCCAAGCAGGAGGGGTTGATCCGGTCCCGAGTGAGTGGATGGAGGGCTGCCACTGCCCCAGTTGTTGCCCTGTTTGATGCCCACGTTGAGTTTAATGTTGGCTGGTGAGTCACTCACAAGTGGAGCTTCAGGGGAGACTAGCTGAGCTTATAAGATAAGTTCTTCAGTGATTTCATTTAAGAGTTTCATCACAATGCATCATATTTAAACCTATCCTGCATAGTTCGATGTGCAAAACACAAGGATTCTTTGTAAAATGTTTCAAAAATCAATGTGTAGGTTATTATGCAGAAAAAAATAGACTGCATCCATTGTGAAATTACATTTCTACTTTTTCATTATTGTTTGGGTTACAACAAGAGTTTTTTGTTGTTGTTTTTTTTTGGGGGGGGGTGTCAAATTAATCAGATTACTATGTATGACACATACTTTTTGTCTTTGTGTTGTAAGGTTATAGATATCTGTCTTTATGTATGTAGATGTACATTAGATATTTACACTTAACCTACTTAAAAATCAAGAAATTGTCAGTTTGTGCCATGCTGCGGCCTTAAACCACAACCACAATCACAAACTGTAAAACATAAAGAAAACACAGGTATATGCCTCATCCTGCACAAAGTTGTAATCATCAAAAATACCTATGCAAAGATGCATACAGCTCATGCATTATTTATAACAAGCTGGAATATATGCATGTTTTTAGAGCAAAGAGACTGAAACAAGAATTTTTATTTGATTGCTGCAGTACTTTAATCGCAGTTGATTGTTTTCTCACTATGCTTACTGCTCTCTGTGTTTGATAAAAGTGTTTTATTTATGTGTAAGATTCCTGCACAGTGCATTCAAGTTGTTTAGGTTTTTAAGAAAGGAGAACATAATGCAGGGACTTGTTTGAATTAATGGCATACAAGTAATGTTTAATATTTCAAACAGAATTCACATTTGAACAGTCCATCTGTGGCTTTTTCCCTGATTATTGCAAATTTTTCCCTCATCAAACAAACACTTGTTCACACATGTTCCTGGGGACCTTGCTTTATGCCCGGGTGCACAATAATATTTATATATGTATTCGTCCTGAAGGGACCGTCTACAAACTGTTCCAAAACATCAGGGACATAAATTGTCTAAAGAATCTAAATATGCTGAAGGATTAACAGTTCCTTTTACTAGAACCAAGAAAGCTCTACTGCTGAAAATCAGATTCATATTCTAATCCCCTCTGCACCAAACTTAGCACTTTACACAATGCAGTCAGGCAAGAGGCATCTTCCTGACAACTTTCAAAGCCAGACTCATCTTTTGGATTACAGGACACAGGGCGTATTTCCAAAGCACTACAGTGTACAACAGTATTGGACCTTTTTCTTTGCACTTTTCAATGAAAGGCATGGATGCCCCTGTGTAGTCATATAATAGAAGCATTTTTTTTTTTTCATGTACACTAATCTAAAGGCAACTGAAAGTTTATAAGTTTGCAGTAATTGCCTGCAAAAGGTTGAAAAACTGTGTTGCCTCAGCACCCACCACTCCTCGTCACCATCCCCATCCCCAAGGCACACGCAGATAGAGATTCACACATTTCGCTGACTCAAATCTTTCTCCATTTTTAAAGGGCTGAACCAGTTCTGCTGAGAATTAAAGAGGACAGAACACGCATAATCTCCCCATCATTTGACAACATCAAGTATGACACATTTGAGATTGAGGAATACCCACTGTCCGCTCAGGGCTTTGACTGGGAACTATGGTGCCGTTATCTCAATCCTCCCAAGTCCTGGTGGCACAGGGGCAACAGAAGTGCCCCGATACAGTAAGTAAATCAATCCATCAGCACAATTATGTGGTATTGAATTAAAGATCAGCCATGCAAAAATGTCAAGTTTGTGATTATGAAAATCATGACTCATATTTTTGAGTTCTTAGTGTGACTGTGGGAACTAACAAACAAACCTGTTGTCCATCAAATGTTTTAGGAGCCCTGCTCTGATTGGCTGCTTTGTGGTGGACAGACTTTACTTTGAGGAGATTGGACTGCTGGATGAAGGCATGGAGGTGTATGGGGGAGAAAATGTGGAGCTGGGCATCAGGGTGAGTCCATTGTTGATTTAGAGAGCTGAGAAAATAACATAGTGGTTATAGAGGGTGATCACATTAAACATACATCTATAATACTACTGGAATCATGGATTTTGATTTTAGCAAGTGGTATCCAAAAAAAAAATGAAAATATGACCCCTCAGTCTTTGAGCAACTGCTTACTTAGATCAATACTACTGGTAGAACAATTTTGCACACAATATGCAAATTATTGGTTTATTCAACAATAAAACCAACATTAAAAATGTATCAAAATACATATTTTCCAAATGATTGTTTTACTGTAAGAAATAAAAATAAGCAATTATATTACCATTATACTTGAAAGCTGGACAGGTCAGTTTACCTTTATTTCTATATAATGTATAACATGCATTGCTTTATCCTAAATGTCAATGAAATGATAGATGATATATATGAAATATATTACCATTATTATCTCAAATAGTGAAGAGAATAATCAAAAACAAAGAGCTTTAGGAAAACAAACATTTTCTGTCAGATATGCCATTTGACAGTTACTACTGGTCCAGCCTGACTCACCAAGAGCCCTGGGCCTCTTGCTAACAAAGGCATTAATCAAACAACAACAAAGGAAACCTCAAACTAGATAATTTTGTTATTGTATTTAATTCCCACTCAGGCACAGATAAACTACTTCCCAGTTGCATTTAATCTAAACACAATGATTATTTTGTAAGAACATTGTTTGTTTGAATTTTGACCAAAATGTTTTATTTTGTATTTTGATATGTAAAATAACATAAGAGATATAGAAAGTTCTAAACTCTCCTTGTGTCATTATCCAGAACAGAAGGACCCAGTATTCAGGCAGACAGACAGTGGGATTACTCATAAAGCATTTATTCACATTAACTGGCTGCAGATCTGCGGTAGCAGCAGGTACTGCGTCTCAGGCAGGAAACTCTGGAGAGAGGAAAACACAGGTTAGTGACCACATAAATCTAACGGGGGAAGATTATGAGCATGAGTCACTGACCTGGTTTACAAGTTCAGTCCATAGCCAGAGAACGAGGCAGGATCCAGCCGATGGGCTGCAAACAAGATGCTGCAGGTGCTGCCCAGAGTGTCCCAGAGGCTGCATCCAGGAGTCCGAAGCCAGGTCAGGCAAACAGATCAGAACAGGAACAGGTGGGCTCAGAGATCTAGGAGACCAAAGACTGTTCAGGCAAACCATTCAGAAAGGAACAGGCAGGCTCAGAGGTTGAGAGGCAGAATAGGTCAGGATCAGGAAATCCGAAACACGAAGGATCTCTAAAAACACTCTCACCACTGGCTAGAGAGAACAACATAATCTGGCCTTGATGACTGGATGCAAGCGCCTTAAATAGAGGCATGAGCAGGTGGATCAGACGAGGGGTAATGAGAAACCAGGCAGAGTTAGCAGGTTAATGGAATGAGTAAATAAGCCAGTCATCAGTGCCAAGATCATGACAGATAATGCCAACTGACCCATCATTAAACAGCTTAATTGCTCAGTTTCACTGGGAGAGGGAGGAGGAGTTACTTCGCTATGAGCAGTCAGGGCTGCTGACTTTTGCTAAGTTCTGTTAGCACGGTAAAAGGGACACGGACAAGTTTAGTATACGATTATCTTAATGAATAGTACCCTTCACTGATTACATGTTGCTTAAATGTAGGCTAGCGCTAATCCATGACTAAGCTAGATCTCTTATTTCACTGGAAAATAAACTAAAAGGTAAACCCTTAGTAGAATCTACCCACTTCTTTCGGAGAGCAAATGAACATCCTTTCTTCAGCGTTTCCTTTTTTTCCCCCTTTTTCAGTTTTGAAAACCATTCATCCATCCATACATCCATTTTCTCTCACGCTTATCCAAAGCTGGGTTGCCAGCTGTCTACGGGCGAGGGTACACCCTGGACAGGTCGCCAGTCCATCAAAGGGCTATTGAAAACCTTATTTTAATAATTTTCTGGACAAAATGGTCACTGTTATTCTTGTCATTCTCGTTTATACCGCCCCTGGGTATATCCATTCAAAGCAATACTAAGTTGGACTGTCAAAGCAGTACTAAGTGGTTTTGACATATGGTAAGGAATCAGTCGTAATGGAGCTTCTTAAAGCACATTGAGTATTATTTAAGCACACTTGAGTTAGTCAAAAAATATGTCTGGCTTTGTGTGGTAGAAAGTTTCAGGAGGGGTTCACACCACAGCTGTCCCAAATCTCTGATAAATCTTTAGGGCAAATCAAAGGTTTACACAAAACCTTTGCAACAGCATACAGCACCCAATTTAGTGACAGTGGTTGGTCTGGACTGCCATTGAGAAGGTGGTGAAAAATTCACACTGGCAAGAAGAAAAAAAATCAGGTAAAAAGGATTTGGCTATTGTTCACAGGTTTTGATCATGTATCCCTCTGTGACCTTAGGGAATAAAACGCTATACCAAATTTGTTTTAAGAAATCTATCGAAGGTTTTTTTTGCTAGTATTAACAGACTAGCAAATCACTGCATGATTACCAACTGCAGGGGCTGTCATGACAACTGCAAGCCTCTGAATGAAGCAGTCCAATTGACCTCAAAAAGCTATAAACACATGCAAGCATATGCATGGCTTTAATGTCCATCCAGCTTGTGCCTGTGTTGCTAGAGAGATGTTTTAAAGTCATTATTAACTTCAATATTCAATATTAACTTAACCAGCTATGATTGGTCATCTCCAGGAGCTTCAAAAGGTATCAAACTTGGTTTTGAATTTCCTGCAAGTGCAGGTCACAGTTTTACTTATAAACATGCTATCCAATACAAACGTGTGATTTTCGTTCACAATATATGATGGGAAACATCCTATAAACTGGATGGATGGATGGATGGATGGATGGATGGATGGATGGATGGATGGATGGATGGATGGATGGATGGATGGATGGATGGATGGATGGATNGATGGATGGATGGATGGATGGATGGATGGATGGATGGATGGATGGATGGATGGATGGATGGATGGATGGATGGAGATTGTGATTTATTAAACTTGTTTTCAGTGGGCTCAGGGGAAGAGGTAAATGGAGAGGGTAAAGTAAAAAGTGTAAACAAATAAAAGAAATGAAATAAGGAATTGCATGTTTAAATCTGGGATTAGGAAAGGGATTTATAAATGCGTTTACGAATTTTGGCTTTACATCTTTATTTAGAAATAGTATTCAATAATGGATTAATGAATCCAAAATTCCTCTTTAAATTCATTTCAAAATGTGCGATGAGAAAAGGCTTTTCAAATTGGATTTCAAATTGCATGATTTAAATGTTAAATAGTAAATGGCTGGTTATCTTTTTTCAATGATTCACTGAGTCCTCCATAAATTGAAAAATCCTCTCATCCAAAACTTGAGTTCTCACTTAACTTATAGATATGTAGCTACCTTATTTTAAAAATAAATATCCAATATGGTTATCTTTAGATTGCTGTTATCAAATGTAGATAAATTAACAAATTGTCTACAAAGGTTTCCCTCAATATAGACAAAACATCCTCAAATTTGGCTAACATACAAGTTTAAAGAGGATTCAGACTTGGTGCTGCTTCTAAAAACTCATCCAGTCTAAATAAAATTTTGTTCTTTTGATATTACAGTTCAGCTTTAGTTAAAATAATAAACAATATGACATTTTTCAAAGAGCTTATAAAAGACTGTACCAGTGATGTAGTCTTTTTAATACCTTATAAGTTAATTGGAGCATTTTGTGTTTTTTTTTGTTTTTTGTTTTTTTAGCAGTGTGACATCCAGAAGGGTCAGAGCAGGAGCTTTTCTTCCTGAAAGCAGTCGTTGCTAGCTCATAGAGAGAAAATAAAGAGCCAACAGCTGTTTCAGTAAAAGAGGAAATGGCAATGTCTTTTTCTTACATTAGAGAATTTTTTAACAGGAAGTTCAGAGCAGGATGAAATGTGGATTTATTCATCATATCTAATAACAGAGATCCAGAACAGAAGGAAGATTATTCCCGTAAATCATTTAGTTGCAGTGTTTGGATTCTGTATCAATCATAATTTACAGCTTTAAGATCGAACACATTCATCAAACGTTCTGGGGCATCACTTTAGCTGCTTTGTTAAGGTGAAATTTACACTGCCATTTTTTTAAATATAATCAACCTAACTGCTTTTTTTGTGATGTTAGACTAATGGGAATCTTCAACAATAGTCTATTTCTGCTGTAATGTATGAGCAGAGTTCAGCACAGGGAATATAGATTGAATTTAAATTCCACCCGTCTCTAATCTTAAACTTTCAGGCTTGCTATCCTGTTTTGTTATACCCCATTTCAATGACAGATTTACCTCTTTCATTTGTTAAAATGTTCATAAATAGCTTGCATATAAATATTCATTTAAACAGGTATTTTGAGCCTGTGAAGAAACTAATTCACTGAGGGGAAAAAAATGTGCCCTTCGGATCAGGGTTAGGAACCACTGGCATGGAGCGCCAGCAGTGTTTACCCGACTGTAGCTTACTGGTCATGTCCCGTAGACCAGCTGCCAACACAGGCTGGCTGGGTCCTCAGAGATGCATTTGAACAAGGCCAGCAGCTACAGGCCTTGGCTGCAACTTTAAAGAGGTTCACTTGTGAAATTAAAATAAGCATTTCTTTCTTTTCAAACGTCCACAATGTGGAAGCATTATATTAGTATTGGGACACCAAAATGCCTTTATTTTACTGTTCTGTGTCTTCAGCTCATTCAAACTGTAATTTTCATGCATGGGAAATATTGCCTGAATTATAAGATTTGCAGCTTTAATTTATTGAAACACTTTGGATTCTTTTACACTGCTTTTACATACTGGAGAAGATGCATACAGTAAAAAAGAGTCTTTATAAACAGAGGCTGTGTCTGACATTCGCTGAATTACGCGACTGGTTTCACTGTAAATGGTCCTGATAAAGGCTGTGCATGGAAACTGTATGACCCTCAAGTAGTCCTGTACTCTGAGAACACAGAGTTCCG